ATCACGTTCGAGGAAGGGAACCAACTGCCTGATCAGCCACAGATGGTAAAAGACTGCCTTGGCAGTGGCCGCTACCTGGGCCTCCATTGTTAAGGCAGCATCCAGGAGCACTCCCAAACTCCTAACCCTTGGCGCTGGCACCAATGGCGCCCCGTCAAAGGTCGGGAGTGAGATCCCTACCCCCGGTCCACTCCGACTCAGGCACAGGACCTCCATCTTCGTTGGATTCAATTTCAATCAACTCAGTCTAAGCCAGCCCACCACGTCACAAAGCGCCCGCTCCAGGTCATCTGGGGTAGAGTCGGACTGGCCGCCCAACGGCAGATATAGCTGGGTGTCATCTGCGTATTAATGGCACCCTAGTCTATGCCTCCAGGCAATCTGGGCGAGGGGGTGCATATACCGCCCCTTGAGGAACCCCGCAGGCCAGCGGGTACCTCTGAGATGTCAGCTCCCCTAACACCACTGTCCGTCCCCGACCTTGGAGAAAGGAGACAAGCCATTGCAAGGCAAGCCCCTGAATCCCAGTGTCGGCAGTAGCTGATGGTCGACAATGTCAAACACCACCAACAGATCTAATAGCAACAGCACCGCCGTACCGCCTCAATTCAGATGCCTTTGGAGGTCATCCGTGAGTGCGACCAGTGCCGTCTCCATCCCATGAACCGGCCGGAAGCCGTGCTGAAATGGGTCTAGCATGGAAGTGTCATCCATAAAGCTCTGCAACTGAATTGCCACCGCTCTCTCAAGTAATTTGCCCAAATAGGGCAAATTGGAGACCAGCCAATAGTTGGCCAATTCAGCTGGGTCCAGAGATGGTTTTGTCAAGAGTGAATAAAACCAGAAGACATGCATGGAGCCTTGAGTTCGCTCACTATCTCAACTGTGGCAGGGAGATCACGGCGAAGCAGTAGGACTTTATCTGCAAAATAGCTCGCAAAAGCCTCACAGCCAATACCCAATTCCCTAGCATTTGGTCTGCCCTGCGGCAGCTCTGTTAACAACCAAATAGTCCTAAATAATCGTGCTGGGCGTGAGCTAGCAGACGCAACCATAGCCGCGTAGAATTGTCTCTTCACGGCTTTGATTGCCACCTCATAGGATCTAATAAACATCCTATAAGATGCTCTTGTTGCTTCGTCGCAGGTGCGCCGCCACTATCTCTCTAACCATCTAAGCCGTCGTTTCCTTAGAGAACCAAAAAGTACAGGTGAGAAGGAGTCATCTGTTTCTGGCCATTCACTATTACTTCTGAATGCTCTCCACCTTCCTACACATACATTAACCAACAAAACCACTGGATGATATCACTTGCAAAAGCTGTTAGCCACAAGCAAGTAGCCATTTCATTGGACTCAGAAACAGGTAGGAAGTACCAGAGATCCAGAACAAAATAGGCAACAAAAGGAAAATGTGGGGCCCAAAAGACAACCAAACCAATCAACTATCACTAGTTGCATCACACCCCTTTCATATGTACCTATGATAGTATTTTGCCACCATTTATTTGATTGCTGACATGACATTCCATGAAAGCATCAACACAACACATTTGCAAAACACACACTCTTCAGAGAAGTACTGCTTCTATTATATAAACCTAATCCACGCTTCACCATTGCCAGCCCATAGAGCTGACACCGGCTTTTGCCTGCCCCCCCCTTCTTGGATGAAGCACAAGGGGTGGGAGAATCAATCATGGCTCAGTGTGGGAGCACTGGCCAATCGTGGGCGAGCTTGCCGGCCAAGTTTGGTGGCAGTCGCCCTCCGAACGCAGATCAGCCCAGCACAAGCTCCCCACCTGCCCACCCTCTTTTTGGACCATGTGGGATTAGCTGGTCGCCATTTTTAGGGCTGAACAGGAATTTTTTTTAGGCCTCACTCAGATTGGCAAAGAGGGGGCCTTTTTTCACCTACTTCATGTGGTCAGAGGGGGTATGGTTTAAGTAGGCCTGGTAAAGCTGATTAGACCCTAACTGGGAAGGTGGGGAAAGCACGGATTGAGGGGGTGTTCAATTGCCAAGCACCCTGGGATATCAGCGATTGGGGGGGGGTCCTCATACTGGGTGCCTATGGGTTTTGCAGTCAGGGTGATTCAGTTGGGGGCCTCTTCGGGGTGGGGGACCATATGATGAGCCTTAAGGTTTTGCAGTCGTGGGCTTGAATGACATGACAGCAGCCATGGATAAGGTGCCAATCAAGCCACTCCAGGCACAAATAAAGATGATCTCAGACCACGAAGACACAAATGACTAGCTGGGGGGGTGGGGATTTTAGGTGAGAGAAAAATATTAATCTTGGGTACAAAAGATAAAAACCAAAGTAGTTTGTTATCATTTCAAGATCAATTACACTTTTATTCAGATAGATCTAAAATAAATGAGCTGCCTTGCTTCCATGAATATCACCTACAGTTTTCATTTACAGATAAAGATTTTCATTTGTACATTTACACCACGAAACAAAAACTGAAACATATGAACACGGAAATAGTATTGTTAATGATGTGTCAATAATTACGCTGTTTTCTACTACAGTACATAATTTACATACATATATTTCCTACTAAATATCACTATTGTGTACAATCTTGGATTCATTTATAATAATGCTTTTGTTACTGGCATAGTTAACAGTCATTCATTTCAAAGAACCAGAAGCCTAAATTTCTGAGCATCTGGTCATCATTATATACTAAGTAAAGACTAATGGGCCGTCTGTTACGAATATTAGTTGCAAAAATGCTACAGTCAGCAAACATATCTTCTTCCATAGGAAGCTGTAAAACATGGAAGTCTCTTGTCTTAATATTCTAGTCAAGATACAGGAATCACAAGTAGTAGTGTAGTGTGGAAACTGCTGCTCCATAGATAACTGGCTGTACATCTATTTCCAAGTACAATTCAAGGTGCTGGTTCCAACCTTCAAAGTCCTAAACATGTTAGAGCTGGTGAATGTGGAAGAACCATCTCCCTGTATTGTCCAGACTGCCAGTTACTCCCCTTACAAACTCTGTTCTCTATGCCTCCACCTGCAGAGAGCAGGCTGGTGGCAACCAGAGACAGGACTTTATCAGTAATGGCACCCCGTTCTCAATGCTGTCCCCACTGAGGATCGCATGGTACCTAACCTGCTCTCCTTTAGGCCCCAGGGCAAAACATTTCTTTTAAACTTTTAACTAAGGGTATCCATTGTGTTTTAGCTTTTGCATGGCTTAGTTCTAGACTGAGAACTCTTTCTGAACACAGTAATAGGCCTCTGTTTTATGTTGTTTTATGGCTTATTATTAAGAAATTTTAAACTGTTTGATGGTTTTATAGTCCTGTTTGGCTATGTGTGGCCCCTTTAGCTTCTTCTGCTGGATCTTCCAACTGACCCTCTGACAGAAATCGATGAGAAGGCAAGAGCTGATTTCTAACTTCACAACACCCAAGTTCTTAACCAATATTTCCATGAGCCTTCTGCTGCTTGCCCAAGGCTTCTAGGGACCCGCTACATGCTGTACACTTCTTATTCCCTTGTGTCTCTACCTAGCATTGACTTGGTTGGCAGAGACGATTACTTCTGTGGACAATCATCCAACCCCCAACTAGAATGTAAGCATGCAGAGAAGGCGCTTTGTTGTTCAGTCGCACAGTCGAATTCGACTCTTCGCGACCCCATGGACAAGATCACGCCAGGCCCTCCTGTCTTCCGCTGTCCTCTGAAGTTTGCTCAATTTCATGTTCGTTGCATCTATGACACGGTCTAACCATCTCATCCTTTGCCGTCCCCGTCTTCTTTGACCTTCAATCTTTCCTACACTACAGATGCCATATTGTTTTAGAGGATAGCTGCTTCATTCTGTGAACTTGGGCATTAGTGGGAGGACAGGGAGGGTTGCATAAGTGCTTACTTCTCATTGCCCTTTCTTCCATGCGCAGGGAAATGCCGGTCACCGCTTTGGAGTCAGGAAGCAATTTTCTCCAGGCCAATTTGGCCAGGGATCCTGGAAGGTTTTTTGTCATCTTCTGGGCATGGAGCAGGGGTCACTCAGGCTGGAGGGAAGGTAGTTGTGAATCTCCTGCACTGTGCAGGGGGTTGGACTAGATGACTCTGGAGGTCCCTTCCAATTCTATGATTCAATTATTCATTCACGTTTTCTGGACTGTATTTGGGCTAGGATTCTTGCATATTCCATTTTTTAGATGGAGTTTCAATTTGGTGCCTATAGTAGCAGTGATAACCCCACCACTGCCCACCCAAAAATTAAGAAGATAAAGCTAAGACATGACATAGCTAAAAGCAGATGACTTCTTGTGCTTTAAAGGTTTATTTTATTAACAAAACGTAGACACTAGTAAAACTGATTGGTTCACTAAATTCAAAATAATCAGTTCCATATATCTACTTCTGCAAGTCCAACAGAGTCATGAATAAAGCTCAGGTTAGTGAACTGCCTTTTGATCTTCAGTCATTTGACATTTGCCCTCACAGATTCAGTGTGAAATATCAACAGCTTACCCCTCTAAATTGGATTCCTTGTACAAGAGAGAAACTATTGTCTTCCAACCCAAGTTTGCACCAGGACTAAGATGCAAAGTGTAATTAACGCCTCTCTTAAATAGCCTCAATTAAACACCTGTCTCTCAGCAATACACCATAGGGAAGGCAGATGCTTATCTAATTAACAACACAGTTCTTTGCTGAAGATATATTGGTGGGGGTGGGTGAGGATAATTTAAGTACTGGTAATGTCATTGGAGTTCACAACCACTTACTCCACATAGAAAGGATTTCTAACTTTCACTATGGATAGAACATTAAATTATTCTCTGTTAAATGGTACATTTAAAACATTACACAGAAAGGGGCATGCGGGATCCTCCACTAGCCTGATTTTTTTCAATTAGAGTTGACAGAATATGGATATGTAATTTTAGTTGTTATTCCATGTTTTGAACAGAACAGAGACTTGATGCTACTTAAAGGAAGAACTGCCAAATCTGGAGTTGGCTTACCGTACAAATTACTGGAATTCTCTCCGTTGCTGACACAAAAACAGACAACTGCTTTGCTTTTTTGTGTGATGCTTTCGAGGTCTCTTCAAACTGAAAAATCAACGACACAGGAGTTACTTTTCTTCAAATATCTAAACCCTTGTGCATATTATTTGTTTAAAATTAGATCTGTTTACACAACAGTCAATAATTCGACCTTATTGCATGCTCACTGTACAATTAATGTCTCTCAACTAGCACCTGCTAAAGTGAGGTCCCACTGTACACCTGCCTCTACTAGGACTTTAATGTGAAACCACCTGCACATGCACTGGTGCCACTAGAATTATTCAGCTTGGGATGCAAAAAAAATTAAAGACCAAAATGCTTACAACCCCCTTCCCCTACAGGGCTAAGTGGATTGCCTTCCCTTCCTTGGCACCCCTCTCCACTACTCCCTCTATTTCTGTTACATTATTTTTAAACAAATAAATATCAGGAAATGCCAGACACCCACAGTTATGCATTGTGTTGAAAAATTAAGTAATTTTGTTTGGCATTAGTGACTTTTAAGAGTTCTTTATTTTTAAAAAAACTGCATAAATTCTAGCATACTTCACCCTTTCAAGGAATCTTAATAGCATGCCCCACCTCCTTCCATCATGAGACCCATCTCTAAATTTATCTATAATAACTTCTAATGATAATATATGTTAGCTACTCAGCTTGATTAAGACCTAAGGGAAAAAAATTATTTGCATTTGAGAAATGCTAAAGAAAATTGTTCCTACAACCAACATATTTGGTAATATGTATTCTGTTCCTCCCCACATGACTATAATTCTGTTAAATTAAGCTGTCAGGGAATGTTAATGGGGGTCTTAGGTAGTTATAGGTAATACGTTTGATAATATGGGACTTGAGAAAGAAAAAGATTCTCTATTAATTAATTGATGCCGCATGAAGGAGAGGCTGTTTTTCCAGCTTGATTGTAAAGCTATGAGTGCTGAAAAGTTAGTTATTTCCTAATAATTAAAGATACTTATTTTCTCTGCATTTAAAAATTAATGAATCCTGTCAGCCATATAGTCCTGCCTTTCTGATTTAAGGAGTACTTTCTTGTTCAATTATGACATCTTCGTATGCCGTTGTACTAGTTTCCATTTTGGGGGTCAACTAGAGCACTGGCTTATATATAGATATGAATCCTTCTCCTCCTTCCTCCTTCTCCATTAGTTGATCAAGCTTGGCTCCTTCATGTTCCTCCCCACAGGGTTGATCAAAGAATGCAAGCCCTTTGTCAATACTGGCAATCTTATGAAGGTTTACTCAGAACTAAGTTCAATGAATGTTTATTTGGAATTCAAGATTCCACCTGAAAATAGTGTGACAGAGAAGACGGAGCTGGAAGAAAAAGGATTAAAAACAGCTGGGTTGGACAGTAGCTGTCTTCTCCCCCTACCATACCAGTGACAATAGCTGTGGGGAGGGGCAGCTTTTAATCAGAGATATAGCTCAATCAGAGAGGGCTAATTCCTCCCACCCTTGCCACATCACTCAGGACGCAGGATCACAATCCATTATTTTTAACAAATCTTGTTTGTCAAGACGCTATTTTCTAGCAATTACAGACTTCCCACAAATTGTGTAGTGTGACACAGTTACAACTCTTAAGTTCCAAATGGATTAGCAGAAGTCAGGGGGGAAAGCTCTCTCATTTGCTTGTACTGGAAGCTGTAAGGCTTCTTTGCAGGGGATGCAGCAATCAATTTACCTAGGCTGCCATTCCAATAGAGACAAGTCACAGTCTTCAAGGAAACACACAAGCAGAGCCTGAACATAACAGCCCTCCTGCATTGTTCAGCTCATGTATTCTGATGCATGCTGCCTTTGAACTTAGAGGTTCCATTTAGTGCCATATGTAATAATCACTAATAACCATATATTCCAAATACAGAAGTAAGTACCATTCGGAAACACTTGGAGTGAAAACCTGTGGATGCAGCCTTCAAGCATTTGCTAGGCAGAGAATTTGGTTCTTCAACCCATTTGAGTTTAAAGTCACTCTGGCGGAAAGTGTCATCAGGTTGTAGCTGACTTATGGCAACCCCACAGGGGTTTCAACGCAAGAGACAAACAGCAGTAGTTTGAAATTGCTTGCCTCTGTGAAGCAACCCTGGGCTTCCTTGGTGATCTCCCATCCAAGTACTAACCAGAGCTGACCCTGCGTAGCTTCCAAGATCTGATGAGACCAGGCTTGCCTTGGCCACCCAGGTCAGTGCAGAATTACTATAGATATTGTCATGAGTCAGCCATGGCTCAGTGATAGCAAGGACTCCTCAGGAGAAGCGGACTCCTTGGGAGAAGAGGAGCCCCGTCTAGCAAACCATGAGTCAACAGAAGCTGACAAGAAGGAAAATGAGCTGTAGGCTTGTCACAATTCACAGCCAACAGCTGGTGCAGAGCCACTGACACCCTCCAGCCTTGGTTCAGCAGGTGAAACTCAGCTGATTGTTTCCAGCCCTCCAGTATCACCCACACCCTTAGAGCACAGACTGAGGCTATAAACAGAACTACAGAAGAGATGACAAAGTGCACGCCTCCTGGCCCAATGTCAGTTGCTTGAGTAGTTGCAGGATTGCTCCTGAGCAGCTGACTGTAAGTATGAACCTTAAGCATACTGTGGAAGCAAGAAGTTGAAATCCATGACTCTGCAATTCACCCCTTCCCACCCCGCCCCCCCCCCCCCGACTTCCAATTTCCAATTTTATTTGTGGCGCTCCCTAGGGAGTGTGTGCGGGGTGCCCCCCCACTTATTTAAAGGCCCCCTGAATTAAAAAAAATCCTGGCTGCCTTGGGCCTGCCTTTTGGGAGCCCCGTGTAGCCAGCCTGGAGTCAACAGGAGAAGGTAGCCAGCAGGAGAGATGAGCTACAGCAGGCTTGTCAGGATTCACAGCCAACAGCTGGAGCAGAGCCCCTGATTCAGCAGGCGACCCTCAGTTGACTGTTCCCAGCCCATCAGTATCTTTCTTAGAGCGCTGCAGACAAAGGCTGAGAAAAGAGCTACAGACAGGACAGCAAAGTGCACGTCTCTTGGCCTGATGCCAGCTGCTTCTGAAAACAAAGATGAGTAGTTGCAGGATTGCTTCTGAGCAGCTAGCTGCAAGCCTGACCCTTAGGTGGGGGGCTATAAAACCAGCCGAGAGAGAGGCTGTTAGGTGTGGGCGCAATGTGTATGATAGATGCTAAGCCACCGACTCTGCAGTGCCTAATCTTGGAACCTCACCTTGGACTGAACAACTACCTGACTTCTGGAACCCTGACCTTGGTCAGAACGACCCTTCCTTGCCTGGCCCCTGATACTTGGAGCCTGCAAGTCAGTACAGATATGATTATTTGGGCTCTATTTTTTAAAGACAGAAATCTGATTTACCTGATAATCAGCAGGTCCAGGGGTAGTAAAAGCTTGCCTCTTCACTAAATATAGAAGCCGAGGAACTGAAGAACCAAATGCATTTTTCTTCTTTTCCCTCAAAGCAGCTTTTTTAGGACTTTCTGTTGATATGCTATAATTGAGGATATTATAGAATGCAGGACCTACACAGAACACAATGAAATTTTGTAAACCTAGAAGACACTCTTTTTTATTTATTTTTTGTAAACCATAAAAAGCTGTTAACTCAAAATCAAAACTGTAGGACAAAAAGCTATATTATACCAAAGCGTGACTGTAGGACTCCTGCTCCATATTAAAATGATTGAAGCCAACAGAATTTGACCAGCAGCAGGACTACGGTCTTGGTTACAGACATTTCCACTAGCATTTATCACGTATCTTGCCTTTAACTGAGTAAGACTCAACTTGGTCTCTACAGACTTGGGTATATCAGTTCTCCAAATTAATTGCTAGGTTTGTTACTTTGAAAACACCTGCCCAATATAGTTATTTAACACAAAGTTCTCTTACGTGATAAAAATGAACAATGAATAAAATATTGAGTAGGTTACCCTAAATAATAAGTGTTCATGATGAAGAACAAGATTACTATTATGAGCTTGGTATGTTAAAAACGACATTTGATATATAATGTCATTTTTAACATAAAGGTAAAGGTTCCCTTGCTCGAAAGCCAGTCAAATCCGACTCTAGGGTTGCGGTGCTCATCTCCGTTTCAAAGCCGAAGAGCCAGCGCTGTCCGAAGACGTTTCCGTGGTCATGTGGCCGGCATGACTAAATGCCAAGGCGCGCGGAACGCTGTTACGCATTTTTAACATGCCAAACCTCATAATAGTAATCTTGTCCTTCATCATGAATCATCAGGCCTTTTCACTATCGGGCTCTTTTTGTAGCAGGAACTCCTTTGCATATTAGGCCACACACCCCTAATGTAGCCAATCCTCCAAGAGCTTACAGAGCTCTTCTTACAGGGGCTACTGGAAGCTCTCGGAGGATTGGCTACATTAGGGGTGTGTGGCCTAATATGCAAAGGAATTCCTGCTACAAAAAGAGCCCAATACTATAATGTTAAACGTCACATAAATTGTCTTGAAATCATTACAAAAATCCTATAAGATAGATAGATATTATCACCAAAAGGCAGATAGGAGCAAGGTCGCTGAGGCTCAGAGAGAGTGGGTTGCCTAAGGCTACCTAGAGAGTTCATTGCAAGGCTCAAAACTGGGACTACTTGATTGGTAGTTCAGCAGCATAGCCATTGCTCTACAGAGGATGAGGTACCAACTGCTCCCCATCACATAAGCACATGCTCATAAATGAAACTGCCTTATACTGAATCTGACCATTAGTCTACCAAGGTCAGTATTTACTCAAACTGGTAGCAGCACTCCGTTATTTCAGGTCAGGGTCTTTCATATCACCTACTATCGCACTGTTTTCACTGGAGATGTTCGAGACTGAACCAGCGACTGGGTTGCCATGCTCTCAGGGGCAGCAGGCAACCAGCTTGAGATTTTGCAGGGTGGAGAGGAACTGTCAAAAGTCCTCAACCAAGACCAGGCTAGGGTCTTCTGAGTGGAAGAGCTGCAAGAAGACAAAATTACAAAACCCTACCATGGGGGTGCCCTCATACTAGTCAGGTAGGCTACCACCAGCCCTTTTACGCCTATCCCAACAGCTCAGGAGCAGAAGGGCAAGTCTCCCAGACTTTCAGGGAAATTAACAATGAAGTCATCCCTGCAGGGTAGGCCTGCAGAATGAGTTTCCAGACCAGGTGGTCACTGGGTCAAAACACTGGAATTAGATTTGAGGTCAATTAAGCCAAAAACCACAAGAAGTAATTATTTTATTAAGGTGCAAAAAAAGTTTAAAAGAAAAAACGACTGAGAGGGGAAATGATAAATCTAAAAGTTAAGTTACTAGCTAATACAGTAAGACAAGGTTCCAAGTTACCGAATGTTAATCCCTCTCAGGCTGAAGGTCTCAGCATCAAAGCGTCTCTCTTTTTCCAGAGGTAGTTTAGGCCAGCAAGCTGTAGGGCTCTCACAAGCAAGCCATCAAGATGGCCGACAGGGGCACAGTAACTGCATAGTGCACAGTCACCATCAAGCAAAAGGCAAGAAGCAACTAACTGGAAAACCTGCTTTTATGGAGACAGATCCAGGTGGTCAGCCATGTTCGTCTGAAGCAGTAGAATAAATTTAGAGTCCAGCGGCACCTTTATTTGAAAAAGTGTGCGTACACATAAAAGCTCATACCTTGAATACAACTTTCTTGGTCTTAAAGGTGCCACTGGACTCTAAATATGTTCTACCATTTTCATGGGTAAGGGTCTCAAATTGGCTCCAGGTCTGCTGAGCCAATCAAAACCCTCAGAGATGATGTAACTCTCTGTTGTTGGACACATGATCTATGGCATGACTCGACCAGAGAGAAGAAATGAAACTTTACTGCAGATTAGGCCTGCCTCATTCCCACAAGTGAAGTCTATAGACCTCAATTGCTTGGAATGCGTTTGTTAAATACTGGGTTCAAGACGCATTACTACACAACAGTGTTAACTGGAGCAAAGCACCTCCTTCAGCACAACACAGCTGTGTCTTATCTAACTTAGCAAGGTTAGCTTGCTCTGTGTCTCGAACTGTCTCTGGGAACACTCTCTAGGCCACAGCCTAAACCAAAAAATTCTACAAAGACCAAAGTTTTCAAGGAACCATTTTCTTTACAGGGACGACAGTGTGATGTCCCTTCTGGTTTGCACCCAAACAATTATTACATGATGCTCTAGAAATCTGCATGTCTCTATGGTGAAAACCACTGTGGTGAGTGAATTCCTAGAGCATCATTATGACACTTCCAAGTTCAACCCAAAAGTTACATCACAACGCTAGTGCTCCTCACTGCCCGAAAGCTCCCACTTAATCAATGACCTTCCCACCTGAAAGCTCCCACTTAATCCAGGACCTTCTGCACACAGAGCAGATGGTCTACCACTCGACCATAGCCCCTTCCCATAAGAACATAAGAGAAGCCAATGTTGGATCATGCCAGTGGCCCATCCAGTCCAACACTCTGTCACACAGTGGCCAGAAATACCAGGTGCCATCAGGAGGTCCAGCAATGGGGCCAGGACACTAGAAGTCCTCCCACTGTTGCCCCCCCAAAGCACCAAGAATACAGTGCATCACTTGCCCCAAACTGAGAGTTTATAGAACATTATAGAACAAAGAGAGGGACTTTAAGATAATGTGCAAAGAGTACCTAGTAGGTTTTAAGATAATTATATTACTGGTTAATATTAAATATTTTATATTAAATAGTTATACATATAGAACTTGGATGGCTCCTATTCTAAATTGTATTTTATATTTTTTAGTAGACAGACATACACTGTCACTTGGCTAGATTCCAAAATATCACTGCCTGGCAGTATTAAAACTTGTAGTATTTGGTTTTCCTACTAGCACAGAAACATTGTAACCACTTTGGCAGGCTACAGAGATGCATGTCCTCCAAGAAAAGAACTCTTTCAACATTAGAGGACATGACAAAGTGGGGTGCTCAGCAAAAAGGGTTTCTGCTGAAGACGAATGGTACCTCACACACCTTGTAAATTAGGGGACAAATGCAAAGACTTGCGGTCAAGGACAGAACAAGGAATGGAGACAACAGGAAAATGCACTGAAAGCAATTTTTAAAGGTATGTATCTTTAAAAAATGCAAGAAGTCATTGAACATTATGCTCTTTAGTGATACATTTCAAGTTATTTGTATACCCTTGCTCACACAGAGCCTTTCTACAATGAAAACAACTTTAAAAGGCAGTAAAATAGGAAGTCAAATCCTTTAAAATCCTAGAACATTAGAAAAACCTTTGTAGAATTTTTTTCTCAAATATCTGCACTATCCTATTTGGTAGTCTTTTTAGTTCTACAAGCCTCACTCAAAGACAGCTCTCTTGGAGGCATTTAAGAGTGCTCGGAGCTAATTAAACCCCTGCTTTCTGCTCCCTGCTGCTTTTGTGGGAAGCAGAAAGTAGAGGATCCCCTGTGAAAAACAGCAGGGAGCAGAAAAACAGCAGGAAGCAGAAAGCAGGGTTCCCCTGTGAAAAACAGCAGAGCAGCGCTTTCTGTTCCCCACTGCTCAGATGGTTTTTTCTTTTGTGAAGAGCAGAAAGCAGGGGTTTAAATGGCTCAAAGCCATTTAGACCCCTGCTTTCTGCTCTTCATGAACTGCCACAAACTGCCTTAAAATTTGTGGAAATTCATGGCAGCTCTTCAGTTCATGTACTTTGGTTCACAAACCATGAACCAACCAAAATTCATCATGAACTTACGTTTGTGAGCCAGTTCATGCCCATCCCTAACAGTTCACCCAAAATATTAAAAATACTTAACACAGTTATATTACTTAACTCCACTTCAACATGGATATTAATCATCATGTAGAACATATTGTTTAATCACACAGCTAACATCAACTGCTAACTTAGCAGACTATTTATTGTTGCTTTCCATTGGGTCATGAATTTAACACTGGACATATGTAGATTAATTGCAAACCTGGTGTTCTTTTCAGCCTGTAGTCCTCAGTAAATCGAACTGAGGTATGACCAAATGGGATATTTTTAGATGCTTTCCTCAAGGACTCGAGTGCAGAACGTGTCTCATTATATGTGCCAGGAGCTGGGGTGGATGATTTCACAGGTGTAAATCTCTGAGGAAACAAGGCAATTGAGTGAGATCCATGGGCAGAAAGAGTCCCATTTAGATAGAACTACTTTCTCATTACTGCATCAATAACATATGAAGCTATGCTACACTAAGACGCTAGTCCATACAGCCCTTTCCACTTTGGCTGTGACTCATGTATAGAGCTTTTTCAGCCCTGCTACCTGAGAGTATCTTAACTGGAGATAATCAATGACTGAATGAGGGATGGACAATGATTGAATGAGGGATCATTTACATGTGAAATATATAGGGTTGCCAAGTCAAAATGTCTTACCGGCAGGGGAACCTCGCCGGGCTCCGGGAGCCGTTCTTTGATGTGTGCGCGCGTGCACCGCCAGCACATCACCGGAAGTGACGCGCGACATCGATCACGTTGAAGCCGTGGCCCTGATCGTCGGAGGGAAAACCATAGAGTTTTCCCTCCGACGATCGGGGCCATGCCCCCAACATGACTGACGTGGTTGCGCGTGGCTGCGCTTCGGGGGGCAGAGTTCCTCCCAGGGCCCGATTCCGCGGCGGCGGAAATCGGGCCTCCGAAGCGGGGGTTTACTCGCCACCCGCCCCCACTTGGCAGCCCTAGAAATATATACTACATTACTGATTTCTGGTACATTTGTGAAAATTAATGTGAATGTATGGTACATATTGTTTTAAGAGCCAGCAAGGTATAGCAACTAAAGCACTGTACTGGAAATCAGGAGACCTGGGTTCAAATCACTACTCAGCCATTAAGCTCAATAGTTGACCTTGAACCAGTTACTGTCTCTCAATCTAAGCTACCTTACAGAGCAGGTTTGAGGGAAAAAACAGGGGGAAGAGACAACCACATGCACCATGCTGTGTCCCTTGGTAGAATGGAGAGATAAAATTGTGTGCGTGGATTGATGACATCATCCCATATCCTATCACTCTGTTCAACAAAGTCTGAAGCCTTTCACTAGCCTAAAAAGCCTTCCCCAACTTGAGGGGCTCTCCCACCAAAGAATGGCTTCAAACTTTACCAAGCATGATGGTAGGATACAGGGCATTAGTTCCAAAGCAGCAGTTTTGCTTTGTGCACTGACATCACTTTCTCTTTAACAGAAATGCAGCAATGAAAGACTTTGCTGGCCAGCTTTTGAGACAATTTTTGTAAAGCAAGCAACAAGATATGTCTTATATTTGCATAAAGAGGACAGACATTAGCCTTTTAGATGCTCCAGAAATTCTACAGTGGGCTGTGGCTCAGTGATAAAACATTTGCATGCGGAAGGTCCCGGGTTCAATCCCTGGCATTTCCAGTTTAAAAGATCTGACAAAACCTAAAACATCCTTGGGGAAGAGTTGCAACCTGGGAATGGATTAGTATTTGTGCTACCTGCTGTTGGAGTCTGCTTGGTTCCACTACACTCTGCATGTTTATTAGTAAACAAATGGGCGTTAAAGACGCAAAGTCTCCAGTGCGTTTTCTCATCCAAAGGAAACTCTACATATCTTGTCATATGCCCTTATTCTTCTCACTATTCAGGAAAGTGGGGAATGTATAACAACATTACTAAAAGCGATATAGGAAATAAGAGGATTATTAGTAGGGGAAATTGTGGATAGAGATGGCTGTCAACTTGTAGACTGGGTGTTTTTCTCTCTTGTTGCAGCTATTTAAAGCTTAGGTTTGGCCAGGGGCATTTTTTTGGGGGGGGGAGGGGAAGATTGTAGAAAGATGGCTGCCATCTTATGAGACCCAGAATTTGTCACCTAGTGTAGGTATTTAAACCCTGGGAGAGGCCAGGGGCAGGAGCCAAAGGTAAAGAGCCTAAGGGATCTTGGTCCTTAGCTCATGGTTCACAGCCCACGGTCTTGGCCTTGATGGACTAGCCCTCTGGGTACCAGCTCAGCATGTTTTGTGTCCTTTGCCTGTTTTACTACGGTGTTTTATTGAAATCATATTGTATTTCTGAAAGCTGTTTAGGTCTCCACTGGGTAGAAAAGAAGGATAAAAATAGATCATGCCATACCTCAGCGAGTGAAAGAAAAGGAGCAACTTCACTTCCACCTTGTGATGTGCCCTCTGCCTTTTGAAACTGACTTTTTATATTGTATTGTCCAGGACCTGGTATCGCCTGTTAAAACAGAAGATGCAAACATGAATTTAAAAATGATATGAACACCAGACATTTGGAACTGTGAACATTTTAATTTGGCGACGAGGTCTTTTGATTTAAAACACAGTTCTACTATGAACTCGAACAACAGTAAATCTGAAAAAAGTAAACAGAAGAGATTCCTAAATTACCTTCAACCATAAATATTTCTCTACTTTTAGTATCTATAAATTAAAATTCTTCATGTATTGCTGCAAGGCTTGTAACACCAGAAGACCAGAAATAAAGCCAAGTGTAAAGGAACGGCTTAAATATGGAATGAGACTCATATGAGTAAAATCATTACTTCAGAATATTATGTTAGTCAGAGCAGAGGTTCAGTCATTTTTTTTAGAAGATCTGAGCAGATGCCCTTAAAGAATGGGGCTTTACAATTTCCCCAAAGGGACCTTTCCACAGATACCTTCAGCTTTGCATCTTAGATTACTAAATACAGTAAAGAACATAGTAAAGAGGGTCTTTTCTGTGATGGCACCCTAGTTATGGAATTTCCTCCCCAGGAAAATTCATTTGGTGTCTTCTTTACTATCTTTTAGATGACAAGTTTTGTCCTATTTGCTCAGGCTTTTAGTACACCTAATACTAATTTGTCCAAAACTGTTCTATGGGCATCCATAATGGTTGTCTTAGAGTAGGGCTGCCAAAAAACCCCGGGGGGCGGATTTCCCCCCACTTTGGAGGCCCGATTTCCGTCGTGGGGGAATCGGGCCCCGGGGGGAACTCCGCCCCCAAAGCTGCGTCACCAGAGGTGATGCAGGACGTACAGCACGTTGGGGGCGTGGCCCGACGATCTGGGCCATGCCCCCAACGTGCCCTACGTCCTGCATCACTTCCGGTGATGTTCTGGTGGCGCGCGAACACTTTGCGTGCATGTGCGCACATCCGCGGCAGCTCCCAGACCGAGCAAACGCTCCCCCGCCAGTGAGTAAATAAGATTTGGCAACCCTATCTTAGAGGTACTCTTTGCCTTTTAAGAATGGTTTATTTTTACAGTATTTGTTTTTTAATATTCAGTTTGCTAAAGGATGGTTCAGTCCAAAGGCAGGGTTAAAAAAAAAAATCTGCTCCAGTTGTTCAAGTGAGCAAGGGACACCCTGGTCATACAGAACTCATGGTAACACATTAGCATGCCAGGCTTGGTGATCAGGATGCAAGCAGGCAGGGATGGAGATGTCAGGACCGGTGGTCCAAAAGCAATAGGGTGGTCAAAGAAAGTCACATGAAGCTTTGGATTTCAACCATGGCCTTCCACATGAGAAAGTAATCATCATGTCTTTTTCAATAGGTTCAAAAAATCTGAAGGCTCAAGCACTCATGAAAATGTATCTCATTAAGCATACATGCTCTTGTTCAATGAAGTACCATAAAACAAATTTAAATACACTTTAAAATAAATGCTTATTAACCTAAAGTGTATTCAATATGGCTCTTATCTCAACTGAGCTTTTTGCTAAATGGCTAGCACACCATACCTCTAATAAGGGAAAATGGAGCTTTCACAGCAGAAGGTGAGCCTGGAATTAATGACGGAGCCACAGATGTAGGAAATCCGTTTAGCCAACCAATTTCTAATGCTTGATTGGCTAGTGCTTAGCACACGTCTTCCATCTAACAATATAGCAACAATTTTGTATTGGCAGCACTAATTTACATAATTGCAGCATAAATTTTCGTTAACTCAAGGCTCAGATACATCCTGTATTTTAAATAAAAGAAATAAGGCCCCTCTACATGGATAATTAAATTATAAAAGATTTAAATCAGCTAAGCATGGTACAGAGTATGTTACCTAACTAGAGACTGAAAAATAACTTGGGGAGGGGGGGGGGAAATCAATCAATAGTAAGTCAGAGATGGCATACCTCAGATGCCGCATTTGAATTATGAATGAATTATACGGAAAAAAATTTGAGGGTCAAGCTATAGGTTACTAAGAAAATACGGCATCAGTTGTGTTGGCTTCTGCTGGTAAATCAGATACCAGCGTACAATTCAGACTTCTCCCCTAGTATTCCTTTAAGTATTTCAAAATTTAACACAAATAACACCTTTCCAAAACATATGGAGAAGAAATACATTAGGGTTCTTCCTCCAGATGTTTGCCAACATTGCTACATGCAGAGGTGGGGCAATTTATGCTTCTGCCTAGTGTCTCAATGGCTGTTATGGCTATAGGATTTTGGACAGAAGGGATGTAGCTACTGGCATATTTATAGTCCTAAAGTAACTGCAGACTGTACAGAAGAGGTTATAAATATTCATAAAGAAATTAGCATCAAAGTAAGATTAATTCTAAGAGATCTCACCTACTGAAAATTCCATCAGCAGATAAATATTTTATACATCTTAAAAAGTCTATCTCAGTTTTCACTAATGTAAGGTGATTACTATTAACCTTTCGCAGTTGTGCTATCCTTTTTCCTCACATTTAAATCCATCTCAGAACTTACTGATAACATATCATTAACACTGTACTAGTGATGCTACTGGTATCTTCTGAGGGGCCCTAAGCTGCTAGTCAAACAGTGGCCAGTTCTGAAAGAAGTGAGCAGTGACTCACAAAAGCTCATACCCTGCCACAAATTTTGTTAATGTTCAAGGTGCTACTGGACTCTTTCTCTTTTTAGTGGCCAGAATGTGACCAAATGTAGCATATACTTGAATTCTGGCAGTTGTCTAGAAAATTCAGTATAGTCTGAGTTGATTTCAAAAACAGACATTTCTCAAAATTACTCACATTTCAGGAGATAAGACCCTTTAGAAAGCTTAAAACCATGGGCTGGATCCAAATCTACCTTTCTGCCCACAAATGAATCTTTGCTCCAAGAAGAGGTCAGTTAGTGAAAGGAGTTGTTTCAAAAATGGAAGATTTGCTATGAGGAGAATGGCACCTTTTGATCCACCCATGGTATTTAAAACCACCACAATAGTGGCTGAAATAAAATGAATACCACACATTTGGGGTGTTACCCAAATTAGCAGTATATTAATTAATTGGGGAAATTAGCTTAGCAAGAGGTGGGTAACTGGGATCTCCATCAATGTACACTGGGATTGTCTCTTAAAGAACTCTCAAAATAGACTTCCGGTCAACAGAACAGCGATGGCGGATGCTCTTCTCACAACGGAGGAGGGCGAATCGCACACCAGCAGCCTGAAGGGGTGCCACCTCAAGTGACACCCCCGCGGAGCCTTTGTGATAGGCTCCAGGCCAGGGGGCTTTTTGAGGGGTAGCCTCTTTGATGACGTAATGCCGGAGAATTGAGGCTCCCCTCCGCCACAACAGTTCAGTCACTGAGTGGCCTTCAGGCATAAGCTGGACTGACCGGGACAAGCGCCGGAGATCAAGCGGAATGGCGTAAAACCGAGTGTGTTCAGATAAACTGGCCAACAATGAACGTGAGTTCTGAATAAAAACGGAGGAGTTTGAAAAGTGATTTCCCCCCCCCTGAGATTGGAAACAGAGATTGCAAAGAGGGATGCCTCTTTTGCGAATGAGTGGCTATGACATGAAGGGGGAGAGGGGAGGAAGTATCAACGATAGAAGGGAGAAGATAGACTCCACTTTTAAAGCTAAAGAATTTTTAAACGTCAGCTGGGGACAGATGATGAGTCTAAAGAGGGAGAATCGAAGTTGAGTGACTCTGCTACCTCGGGAACGGAAGAGGATTCTGCAGCAGAAAAGGGTGCAGGACCTGCCAGAGTGGTATACAATTTTAGAGACAGAAAGCCGAAGTAAAGGCAGAAGGACTTGGAAAATGGCCTTTTGAAGCAAAGAATAAGAAGATGATCATAACATCTCTCATAACAACTCTCATAACAACTAACAAAATAACATACAAGAACCAAATTGTTATAAGCAAGAACTCAACAAGTATATTGTGATAATAAAACTAATGGTACTAACATATTTATTTTATTTTATTTTTTTATTTAACTTTCGACTTTATATCCCGCTTGAACCCCCTTTTTCAGGGGATCTTTTAGCGGCTTACAGGCAGGTGCTAATCACAATTATTCCCTAACTAGGGCCACACATTTCTATACGGGGGTGGGACTACCTACCGGCACCCCTGTGGTGGTTGGTGTTGTTCTTGACTCAGCTCTTCAGGTCTATTCTTCAACAGTCTCCGGTGGGATGCTCACTTCAGCGCTCGGGCGGGTTGGCTTTGGGGCACACGACTCACGCCTTCTTCCAGCCCCAGCAACGTCCTTTCCGGCTCCGCTGTGCCCGTGCTCGACGTCATCGCATGCCCTTTTTGATGGCAGACGCTCGATGTTTCTTTCCTCGGCCACCAGGGATCACCCCTCCGGTCGTGCTTGCTTGCTGCCACCATCACATTGCCACGCCGCCTCCGTCTGCACTGGAGCCAATGTCTCGCCGCCGCCGTCTTCACCCACCACACCTAAGGAGGGTGCCCCCCACCCTACTAAGGGTGGGTACCCATTTATCTACTCGCAATTAGTTGCTTTCGAACCACTGGGTGGGCGGGAGCTGGGACTAGGGTCGGGAGCTCACCCTGACCGCGGTGGTACTCGAACAGCCATAGTGACTGCTCGAGTGATGTTGTTAAGGCAGGCGTTTTACTGCCTGCGCCACCGCTCCCTTTTACTAACAGTGAAAAGATCTCCTTCTCTTGGGGTTTTAGTCTAGTGTGGTTTGCTTTTCTTTATCCCCAGTTGTAGTCCCTTCCCTATATTTCTTTGTAGTTTGTACTATATGCAAAATAAAAAATATCCCTACGGGGATAAAAAAAAAAAAAGAACTCTCAAAATAAACCAGGCTGAAGTTTAACCAGAAGGGTGTTTTATTATATATATAAAAAAGAGCAAAACATACACACAAAGCACTTGGGGAACACACAAACTAAGAGAAAAATAAAAGGGAGGAGTGTGCAAAAGAGATTTGGAGAACGAGATCTTGGAGAACGAGGTCTGCAGCAGAATGAAATGACTAA